TGTATGCAGCGGAAGTCTGAGAAATGGACTGACTCACATAGACTGGACTCATCCAGATATCACTCAACACGCAAGCAATCGTGAGATGGTGGGGTCTGAAGCCAATCATAGACGATGCTCAGGCCCCGTACAACCATACACAGATGAAAGGTGGGAGGAGAGACGATGGAGGTGGGAGGTGTAGGCAGTGCCAGATGTCACCGAGATAGAATCCAGTAGGTCACCGATATGGTAGTCCAAAATGTCATCGAACATGATCAGAATGTCGTGGACAATAAGTCACCCATGTCGGAGGTACAGAGTCCTTACGTAAACAGTGTCCAATCTGCGATGCCGCCGAGTATCAATCCCAACTGACTCCAAGTCTCGAATCCGGTAAGTATCACAGCCTCTTACCACCGAAGTCCCAACACTGATCTCTGTCCAACTCGTATCAAAGTCTCCAATCTGAATAAGACGAAGAAGAAGAATAGGTCTGAAGAAGAAGCAGAAGCAGAAGCAGAAGCAGAACCAGAAGCAGAAGAAGAAGAAGAAGAAGAAGAAGAAGAAGATAGAAGAGGGAAGGAGAAGAGATGGCAGAGCATGGACGGAGATGGCGAGTAGCGCCAGGCCCTACCTGATGGGACAAGGTGGCGCCTTGGCTGCTGCAGAGGACGGCGGAGCTGCTGGGAGCTATGGTGCTCGTAGCTGCTGGTCAGGTAAGTCCCTCCTCCTCGCTCTCCCTTACTGCAGTGCGCTAAACTTAGCGCTGCAGTTCCAGCGCTGCGCTGAACCCAGAATAGCGCAGCGCGGTCGCTCTTCAATGTCGCTACTCCCTACCTGCAGGAATGGCCGCTGGACCGGCCTAAGTACCGTCCAGCGGCCGGTTGGCCTCAATGCTGCCGTGTGCTGAACCGTCGAAATGACCGTTCAGCACAGACCGGCAGGCGGCAGCCTCAAGAGCGCCGCCAGGCCCAAACGGTCATGTCATTTGGGCCAACCTGGGTCTGCTGGTGCTGAGGCCTAACCGGTGGCCTAACAGGGCCTACGTGGAGAAAAAGGCCTGGCCTTTGGCGAGGCCGGCCTGGGTACCCCTGAACCGGTATGTCGGGCCTGTGAAGGCCCATGTGAAGTCGCAGAATGTAACACATTCCCCCCCTTAAAAGACCGAGCTACCTGCGAGGGCGAAGTTGTCTGTCCGATACCTGTGTGGGTCGGGTGGGACGAACTTTGTCCTTGGCAAGTTTCCGGTTCTCGTAATCGGAGAAGATGAGTGGTGCATATGCTTGTAAGTCTGCGCGGGAGATCCAACGAGTGTCATCCGGGGCACATTGCTTGAATGTGACTTCGTATTGCATTGGCATGTTGCCGAACTTGTGGTGCCTGATGACACAGTCGACTTCCTGGTGTCCGTCCATAGAGGGCGGATCTTGTGATCGTCGGCCCGGAAACTCATCCTCGAAAGGTGGCGTGTAGATGGCCAGCTTCGATGCATGGAAGACCGGGTGCACACAGAGGTGCGGTGGGATGGCAATCACAAAGGAAGGACCTGCAGGGTCGTCGCCTGCTGCAGAAACTACCTTCCATGGTCCAAACCATTTTGGGAGGAGTTTGCGCGAGACGTCCCGCTCGAGCGCGAATTCCTCAGCGAGGACCCAAACAAGGTCTCCCTCGTGGAAAGGACATGGGAGTCGACGTCGGTTAGCTTGCTGCTGCATGCGGATTTGAGCCTTTTGCATGTTTGCGCGGGCTTTGATCAGCAAGTCCCGGTACTTCCAAACGGAAGCGGGAGAGCAAGCGATGTCTATGTCGGCGGCCCGTGGTAGAAGAAGATCGGCAAAGACTCGGGCTTTCTCTCCACCGTAGTGCAACTCGAATGGAGTGATGCAGATCACCGGGTGCACCGAAGTGTTATAGGCGAACTCGATGTCGGGAAGTCGGTCAACCCAATCTTTCTGGTCGGGACGGATGAGTGTACGTAACATCATTTGAGCGGTTTGATGCTCTCGTTCTGACTGTCCATCCGTCTACGGGTGACGTGCGGAACTCAGCTTCATAGTCGAACTGGACTCCGTCATGAGGGAAGTCCAGAAGGCGGACATGAAGCGAGTGTCTCTGTCGCTCACAATGTCCTCCGGTACACCGTGGCAGGTAATCCAGCCGGTGTGCAAGAGTCGTGCGAGCTCGGGGGCTGTAGCACAATACTTGCATGGAAGAAAACGAGCGTACTTGCTCAAACGGTCAACGACCGTGAGAATGCCGTCATGACCGAGGCGATCGCGGGGGAACGGGCCCGTAACATCCAAAGCAATGGAGAGGCGAGGTGCCCGAGGAATCGGCATCGATTTCAGTTCGCCATAAGGGGCCTGAGATCTACCTTTGTTAAGATGGCAAACTGTGCATGACTCAATATACCTCGTGATGTCGTGAAGAACGTCTGGCCAGTGAAAACGCTGGCGGAGGCGGGCCAATGTGCGGGTCACGCCAAGGTGTGCCGAAAGTCGTGCGTCGTGGAATTCGCCGAGAAGACGAGTCTGTAAGATGCGATTTTGGGGCACCACTAACAAGTCCTTTCCTCTGGTGTGGAGTAGGAACCCGTCGGAGATACGATAATGACCAGCCGGTGGGTGATCCGATGAGAGCTCCGCATAAAGCATAGAGTAAGTCGGATCGGACTTGTAGCCTTTGACGAAATGCTGCTGCAGATCGTCGTCGAGTTGGAACGTCGTAGTCACGAGGGCACAAAGATCGGGCCTCCGTGAGAGGGCGTCCGCTGCTCGATTGGCGGGACCGGGAATGTGGCACGACTCAAAGTCGAACTGGTCGATGTAATACAACCATCGACCGATCGTGCTAGTGACCGTGTCCTGCGTTTTGTGGAAGGTCAACGGATTGTTGTCCGTGTTCCATCTAAAACGCTGACGACCGAGAAGAAAGTGGCGCCACCGTTTGAGAACGGTGACGAACGCGAGTAGCTCTTTCTTCCTAGTGTCGTCGAGAGTGTTGATGGGAGGCACTTTTTGGGAGAAGTACTCGACCGGGTGCCAACCATTCGTGTGGCATTGTTCCAATACCGCACCAATACCGTACCCGGAAGCATCCGTAGTCACTTGGGTGGGTAGGGTGGGATCATAGATACGGAGGGCCGGTGCGTCTTGCATCGCCGTCTTCAACGTATTGAACGCGCCACGAGCTGCGTTGTCAAACTCGAATGGTACCTTCGGGGACTGAAGTCTCGACAAAGGGGCTGCCACTTTGGAGTAAGATTCGACGAAGCGCTGATAGTACCCAGCCAAACCCATGAAAGAGCGAACGCCCGTCGTGCAACGGGGTTCCGGCCAATCCACGATGGCTTGGATCTTGTCCGCTAAGGGACAAATGCCTTTCGGCGTCACATAATGGCCCAAGTACTCAAGCTCTTGTTTGGCGAATTCGCACTTGTCGCGGTTTGCTTTGTACTTGGCTGCTCGCAAACGATCCAACACCACACAAAGGTGTACGAGGTGCTCGTCAAGCGTCCTACTATAGACCAAGATATCGTCGAGGTAGATGAGGACGGTACGATCGAGCAAGTCTCGGAATTCCGTTGTCATGGCTGCTTGGAAGGTTGTCGGGGCATTGGTGAGTCCAAATGGCATCACGACCCACTCAAAATGCCCATACCGCGTTTGGAAGGCGGTCTTGTACCGGTCTTGAGGCTGGATTTCAATCTGGTGGTAACCCGACTTCAAGTCCAACTTCGAGAAGTACGTCGCACCGCCCAACCGTTCGAGGAGATCATCAATCCTGGGGAGAGGGCCGAAGTTCTTTACGGTTTGTGCGTTAAGTTTTTTATAGTCGATGCACAATGTTAGGTCCTTGTTCTTCTTCCGGACGAAGAGAACTGGTGCACCGTATGGCGA